TCTTTTTTTTTGCTGCTTTCAGTCTCAAGCCCATAGGCTTGGCATGTATATATAGGTGTGTAGGCATGTATGTCTTCAGTCGCGGCCTCATCGGCCAGCTAGTATTTTATTATTTTGGCTTGTCTTCCTATGTTTATATGGCTTATTGTTATTCATGTCATAACCTTACGGTCCAGGCTTAGTATTTCAAATGTTGTGCTGCCCTATCTGTTGGGCCCCCAGTCTAGTTAGCTAGTATATTTAGTGGCTAACTCGATCGAATACAGTATCGAGTGCCAGTCGTGCCTCCCCTAGTTTGGGGCGTGACAGCGCGGGCTTTCGAAGGGCTGATGTGATTCCCGTTCTCATGGTAAGGCCTCTTTCTGAGTAGTTAATATCGTGCTTCTATCTTTCATTATACTGACTTTTCTTCCCCTTTGTTATTGCAGGTTTGCCTAAGACCACCGAACTTAGGCCTTTGGAAGGGTACTAGGATGTGTCCTTGCCCGTTGATCCCTCTGTTGCGGGGCAGCGCAGGGCTGCTCTGGAGGAAAAGAAGAAAATGAAGAGAAAACCTTCGGGCTCCCCAAGATCCGAGGTGAAGAAGCCAAAGAAGAGGGTGGCCCGCAAGCCCAGAAGAAGATCTAGCTCCCGGGTGCTAGATTCCGACTCTCTCCTCCGACTTAGGGACGAGCCGGAGGATGAGCTTATTTTTGTTACCCATGGAACGACCTTTCCCGGGGAGCAGGAGGCATCCGAGGGGGAGACTCGTGAGGTCGACCCCCTCAGACTCAAGAGATCGATGTGGAGACCCGGGGTGGGACTCCCAGGACGCCGGCTCCGCTCCGAAGGAAGCGCCCAGTGTAATAGAGATTTTGGGGACACCCTCATACACTGAGTCCATGGTGCAGACGATCCCCTTCACTCCTTTTTTTTATGGTGTGGACTCGCCTGCTTTGGAAGACTTCTCCGGGCTGGGCGACCTGGAAGTTCCAAAGAAGGACACATCCTCAGAAGCTGGTGGGTCGAGCTCGAGCCCGAAATTGATCAACCAGTTCCCTGCTCCGAGTGCAAACCCCGGTCGCAGGAGATTAGTTATTCTCCCCGTCATAGAGGATGCCCGAGTTTTGTCTGCTCCTGTGGGGATAACTAGCTACCTCCGATTCTGGTGACCGAGGAGGACTAGGCAAAACTGAATGAGGTGATCGTGTCATGACTTTTCAATAAGGCGCAACAAGTGCTAAACCAGGTAAGGCATCATTACTTTCCATCGAACTTTACTTAAGGTTTGATATTTCTCATGTTTTTCATATTTTTGCAGGCCTCAGTACTTCATCACGAGAGCTTTCTTTGGTACCGGGTTGAGGTCAATCAGCTTGAGCTCGAGATCAAGGAGCTTGCCCAGAAAAAGGACATGTACAAGCTTCTCAGCGAGCAACAAGAAGGGGTCATTAAGAACCTTCAGGCCGAGCTGGATGGAGCCCAGAAAGAAGCATCGGTCTTAAGGCGGGAGCACGCTGACTTGATTGAAAAGGTAAAGGTTTTTGAAGTTAGAAACGAGGATCTGATCGCAGTGGCTAATGACAATACCTCGCAGGTCCAGCAGAAGACTGACCAGATCGACCAACTCCGAAAGGAGATGGACGAGATCCAAGTAATGGCCGACGGGTGGAAAAGCAAGATGGACCTGCTGGACTCGGAGAAGGAGACCGCCCAGGACAAGCTATCTTCAGTAGAAGTTCAACTTCGGGTGGCAAAAGAGAAAGATGATAAACGGGCCCAGCAAAATGAGGATCTCCGAACACAACTGGGCTCGGCCATCGCTGAACGGGACACTCTTGGTAAAGAGATTCAAGTAATAAGGTCCAAGTTGGAGATAACCTCGGCCGATGCTGACGAGATGGTGGCTCAATACAAGGCCGACGTCGAAGCAGCCGAGGCCCGCCTGAAGACCACTGCTGAGTACGTGAGGCGGCTATCTTGAAGGGAGACCCTTTGTAACGACCAGACCGGTCATTTTGAGTATTACAACCCCGTGCCCCTATTTAATTCTCAATTTGTGTTTTAGAGTTTTTATGTGACTTGCCGGGGTGATTGGTTCGGGTCCAGTGAGGTTTTGGAATGAATTGGAACACTTAGTCTCAAAGATGAAAGCTTAAGTTGAAATAATTGACCGGATGATGAAATATGTGTAAACGACCCTGGAATGGAATTTTGATGGTTCCAATAGCTTCATATGATGATTTTGGACTTAGGAGCATGCCCATAAAATTATTTTGAGGTCCGTAGCTAAATTAGGCTTGAAATGGTTAAAAATAAAAATTTAAGTTTGGAAGTTTGACCGGAAAGTTGACCTTTTGATATCCGGATCAAAATCTGATTCTGTAAATTTTAATAGTTCTGTTATGTTATTTATGACTTGTGTGCAAAATTTGAGGTCAATCGAAATTGATTTGATAGGTTTCGGCATCAAAGGTAGAAGTTGGAATTCATTAGTTTTAGTTAAGCCTGAATTGGGGTGTGATTCGTATTTTTAGCGTTTTTTGATGTGATTTGAAGGCTTGACTAAGTTCGTATGATATTTTAGGACTTGTTGGTGTATTTGGTCGAGGTCCCGGGGGCTTCGGGTGAGTTTCGGATGGTTAACGGATTGAAAATTTGGACTTAGGAAAATCTAGAAATTTTGCTTCTAGTGTAACCACACCTGCGAAGATTTGATCGTTGGTGCAACACCACAGGTGCGCAAGTACCATCGCAGAAGCGGTGAGGAGTGAAGGGCAGGGCAGGTTGCATAGGTGCGAAGATTTTGCCGCACCTGCGAGGTCGCAGATGCGGCTGATTGACCGCAGAAGCGGAAAGGGAGCAGTTTGGACTCGTCGCAGAAGCAGACAACTTCTTCGCCGAAGCGAGTCCGCAGAAGCGGACTTCTGTCCGCGGGTGCGAAAGCACTGGGCAGTGTACAAAACAGAGGAGTTCCGACATTTTTGTCATTTTTGACATTTCCAACACGGGTTGAGACGATTTTTGAGCTAGAATTCACGGGAAATCTTGAGGTAAGTCACTTGTAATCATTGTTAGTCAATAATATTGAATTATCATCGATTATTCCGACTAGATTACGTGTTTTTGGGGGTGAAATTAGAGGATTTGGGCCTATTTAAAAATAAGAATTTAAGATTTGGAGATGGAGTTGATGTCGAAATTTGGTATGGTTAGACTCATGGTTGAATGGGCGTTCATATTTTATAACTTTTGTTGGGCTCCAAGATGTGGGCCCCACTTGCGATTTTTGGTGCAATTTTGGATTTTTCTTGGAAAATTAGTATTTTCATATGGAATTAATTCCTATAATTTTTATTGACTGAATCGAATTAATTATGACTAGATTCGAGGCGTTTGGAGACCGATTCGTGAGGCAAAGGCATTCATAGTAAGGAATTACATGGTTTGAGGTAAGTAACAGTTCTAAATTTGGTCCTGATGGTATGAAAGCCCGGATTTTTGTGATATGTGATTGGTTTTGAGGTGATGCACATGCTAGGTGACGGGCGTGTGGGCGTGCACCGTAGGAATTATGACTTGGTCAATTCCATGGAACTGTGTAGTTGAATAATCTGTTGATATCCGTATATTTCCACGTATTAGAGAAATTGATCTATAAATCATGTTTAAACCATGTGTTGACACTGTTGGGACCCATAGAGGTCGTGTACATGTTGAATTATCTGCTAAATTATTGTTTCATGCTCAATCATGACTCTACTTGCATATTACATCTCAGTCTCTATTGCTCATTATTGATGCATCATATCATTGCCGTTGGGCTATTTATCATGATTTCTGAGAGCCCGAGAGACTAGAGAGGTTGATGACCGAGTGAGGACGATGGCCTAATTATGAGGATATTTATGGGATCGAGTTGCACGCCGCAACATATTTCATTGATTTAGGCCATGATTGGCTTGTTATAGTGCTTGGGCTGAAGGAGCCCCTCCGAAGTCTGTACACACCCCCAGTGAGCGCAGGTACCTACTGAGTGCGAGTGCCGAGTGCCGAGTGCTGAGTGACTGAGAGGAATGAGTGACTATGAGGAAAGAGTGATTATGAGGTTGGAGTGAATGGGAGGACTGAGTGACTGTTGCTCTGAGAGGATGTATTGATTTCATTATTGCTGCATTTCAGTTGTCATATATCATTGTTTTGGAAATTTCTGAAAGACATTATCTTCTGTTTCAGTCAAATTTAATATGAAATTACTGTTTGAGTTTTAAATGTTGAACTTGAAAGCATGTATACCTTCTTATGTTGGAAATTACTGTAATTGGACTTAGTTGTGAAGCTCGTCACTATCTTCAGTTCTTTATTTAGTATTGTTACTTATAAAGTTGGTTTTACTCATACTACGCCCTGCACTTTGTGAGCAGATCCAGGTGCTCCCTGACACAATGGGTGTTGATTCCTTCGCATAGTTGATTTTTCGGAGATTCCGAGGTAGCTGCCGTGTTTTGCAGACCTTGTCTCTCCTTCCCTATCTTCTTGTTTACTGTATTTGGTCTAAGTCTATTATAGATTGTATTTTCCAAACTTGTGATGTATAAATGCTCATGTACTCTGTGAGACCCAGATAGTTGGGAAATTCTGCTTTATGTTTTGGGTTTTCTATCCCGTTTATGAGACCATTGCTATTAAATCTGTTTTTAATTCATTCTTGTTAAATGTGTTGGGAATTATTTGTTAAGAGTTGTCTTGCGTAGTACTACGTTAGGTGCCATCACGACAAGTTAGGATTTTGGGCCGTGACACCTTCGAAGAGATCCACGCCCGAGGCTTTGACTTATCTGCCGAGATCGAGGAAAGGAAAAGACTTGAGGCTGAGGCGAAGAAGCTTGTTGAACCTGAAGGTGAGGAGGGCTCCAAGGGTTCCGAAGAATCTGAAGGTCCCGATGGTTCTGGTGACAAATCGGGCTCCGGTAAAGACCAGGCGTAAATTCCTTACGATTTTTTAGTTTTTGTATTCTGTACATATTTCTTTTGTTCAGTTCGAGGCCGTTTTTGTTGGGCCTTTGTAAAGATATTTCAGAATATATAAAATTTCTCCTTTTGGCAATTTTAAGTCTCTACTATTTTAGCATCTTTTCATAATTGCAAATATCTCTAATGCCTTAGAATAAAATCAAATGTAGTAATAAGTCATTTATTTTTCGGAGGTAAGAACAGAACCCGATCTCGATGCAATATTTTGCTCGAAATTTTTGAAAACTCAGAGTGACCGTAAGTTTTCCCAAGATGCTTAAGTATTCTTAGACGATGCCTCAACCGAGGGTAACCTTTTAGCAGATTTTGAATTTTTATTGAAGGCCTTGCGTTTTGATTACGCGCTTCAGACGTCTCCTAACCGTATTTTAGGGTGGCCATAGCCTTTTAGGTTTAGGCACTGCCTAATAGGTTTTGTGCCTCCGGGTTTTGATGACCCGAGCCGCCCGAACTTATTTCGGACGATAGTCCTCGGGTAGGAATAGCCCTTAGGCTCGACGCTCTAAGAAGCAAAAGTATGTAATAGCAAGGTAGAAACATTCTTTCAAATATGTGTGTATAAGATTGAAAGAGTGTAAAAGCTTGTATTATAGCTAAGGTGGCTGATAACTAGGGGTTTTAGCCTATTATTTGCTCTCTTTTGCTTAGGTTTTGGGTCAAAAATGCGTAAAGGTATTCCCAGAAACTAACTTAATGTGATTGCTTGCAGGGTTTGGTCAAAATGAGGCAAAGAAGCCATAATCAACTCATGTAGGAGTCAAACCTGCACGAATCCAAGGCTGAGACTGGAGCGCTGAGAGCGGCAGAAAAGCGCGGTCGCGTAAGGACCACCGCTGAGGCGGCCACTATTACGCGGTCCGCGAA